TGTTTACTTGCCCGAAACTTACCTATTCAAAAAACTGTTTACTTGCCGCTTGGATATTCAATTTCAAATATCCGAGACTGTAACAATATCGTGTGGTTCAAAAAAACGCTACCAGCATTTATAAAGAAGAGAGAATGCCTGGGATGATGCGTCCACTTTTCATTTCGTTGAGTAAGATGTTGAAGTCGAAGATCATCGTTTTAGGAAATCAGCAAGTTCCGACATGGCCTGGCGGCTCTTCTCAAGTATGATTGGGTTCCTGTGCCGCTTGTGTACCCTCAAGTATGTACCTTTGACCTGCGCCCACGTTACCCCTTTATTTTAATTGTTTCTTATTACAGGTCATCTTCCTAGCAGTTCGTTTTTATTTTGTGATTTGTTTATTTGGACGCCAATTTATTGTTACGGGAAAAAATCCGAGTGGGGTGAGTTGAAAACTAAGCAGATCCGTTTCTTCAGTGTCTCTTTTTTATTGATCTCTTTAGGGATCGTAGCCATGATTGCACAGCGGTAATAGGGTTGTGGCGGAGCTGCCACCCATAAACCGGCACTATTTACCCTTTACTGCCCCACTCCTCAAGAACTGAGCCGGATTTTGATCGAAATTTGTCCATGACTAAGGATTTGGCTAGAAAGTTGTTTCGGGGTATTTCGACCCGTAGAACACGAATATCACATCAGTTTAGCGCGAAAACGCCTGGCGTTCGCGCCACTTGCGCCGGCCCCATCACACTATTTTCGCTCGTGTAGCATTCTACAAGCTCACTCAAAACGAACTGATGCGATAATCATGTTCAAGGGGTCTGATTACCCCTAATGACGAGTTTTCAGCAAATTTGGTGATCCAAGATGTTCTGGCGCTTTTTGGCGCCGGCCCTTCTGGCGCGGGCGCCAAGCGTTTTCGCGCTAAACCGATATGATATTCGTGTTCTACGGGTCAAATACCCCTGGACACAACTTTTTCTAGCCAAATCCTTAGTCATGAACGAATTTCGATGAAATTCCGGCCCAGTTCTCTTGGAGTGGGGCAGTAAATGGTAAATAGTGCCCATAATTTATGTGAAAGCTCCTAGTAATTTGTAGGCTACGATTCTCGCTTAAGATTCTTAAGGTTCCCTGTTTTTACGAATTTACGGAAGATACGCTCAATTGTAAACCTAAGCGGGAT